CCCTCATCTCTACCAGCAACAACTAGAAGATAGAAAATTAGCATTTAATGTGTCAAGAAAAACTGCACATTCTCTAGGAATCAATTGATCAACTCATGCTCAAGACATTTACAGGACTTTAAAATTCTACGATGGAATATAAAGTAAAATTTTAAAAAATTAAAAATTTTAAATTTTGATTGAGTGGACAGGACCTTGTGTGGCAACATTTAATTCCATGTTAACCAAAAAAATTAAATGTAACTCCACTCAAATTTCCAGATAAACAGTTTTACAGGAACTCAATGTGCTCATTTGGAAGAATAAAGCTCTATCAGCTAAACTGGCAGTACTTGAAGACTTATGTTATTGGTATAGAAATGAATGCACAGAAACAGCATAGAGGACTCGGAAGGGAACCCTCACATTAGAGATTTGGTCTTTAAGAGATGGGTGAGGAGTGCTGTCTCACTCTAGGCACAAAGTGGAGCTGGTTGTCTACCTCACAACAGATGCACAGAGTGTCCGGATGGGTTAGCATCCCTAATCCAAAAGGTAAGACTATAAAGATATAGAAAAACCCAATAGAGCCGGGCATGGTGGCATAAACCTATAATCTCAGCAGCTCCAGAGGCTGAGGCAGGAGGATTGAAAGTTGGAGGCCAGCCTCAGCAACTTACTGAGGCCCTAAGAAACTCAGTGAGACCCTGTCTCAAAAATACAAAATGGGGGTGGCTGGGGATGTGGCTCAGTGGTTAAGTGTCCAATCAAAAGAGAGAGAGAGAGAGAGAGAGAGAGAGAGAGAACCCAAGAGTAGAATATGACTGGAACAGTGGAAGGTCCTAAGACTGTTCAAACACAAACCATAAGATGAGACACTGATGAGTTTGGAAATATTCCTGTTCAGGAAACAAAGTTAATTGATGGCTGTTGAGGAGAAATACAGCCAATCCTCTATCCATGGGTTTCACATTCTCAGATCCACTCTCAGCTGTGGAATGAAAATATTTGAAAAATAAATGTGTCTGTATTCAACTAATTTTTCTTGTGGTTACTTCCTAAACAATAACAGCTACTTACATAGTAACTGAAACTGTTTACAATTGCCTGTGTACTCAAAATTATTTATAATATCTAGTTGACATTGTACTAGGTTTTATAAGTAATTGAGAGATGATTGGCAGCCCGCAGGAGGGGGCTGTGGGTGGTTCTGTGACAGCACTACCCTGCTTTACCTAGAGGACTGGAGTCTCTGCAGATGGTGCTACCTGCAGAGTCTGGTCCTGAAACTGTACCCGGGGCACTGAGGGTTTACTGTATCAACAATGGCTAAGTGTGATAAGGGAATAATGGCAAGAGGATATTAACATCTCAAAATTAAAGAGGATTAAGGAAAAGAGCAGGAAATAAAATAGAAAAAAGGATCAAAAGATAAGAACAGGAAATTCAAAAAAGTCAAGACAGTTGCCAGAATCATGCTGCCAACCTCCCACTCGTCAATAAAGCCAAGTTGAAACAATCGCCTCACTCACCAGACCCGCAGGTGTTAGCCAGAGGGCACTGCGCCCTGAAACCCGGCCTCCCCGCAGTGTGACGATATTTGGAGATGGGACTTTTCAGGAGGTAAATAAAGTTCAATGAGGTCCTAAGGTCGACCCTCATGGGCTAGGA